CTCATTCGCAAGCAGTCATCTTGGAACCTTCGCAGTGACCCTTCCGGGGATATGTGCTCTGAGAATGGGGAGTTAGACTTCGATATTCCCGAGTCAACCGTGGAATGGGAGAGCGGATACTCGCGCGAAAAGAAGATCGAGAAGCCCAAGCCAGGCTCCAGGCCTGTTCGTCCGCAGAATGATGCAGGCGGTGTGGGTACCTTCAGGGGCGTGGTTCGATGTTACCATGGGTTCGCCTTCTTCCGCGGCATCTTCTATCTCGTCCTGAAGTGGATTTCTTACGGTTTGGACAAGCTTCTTTCCCGGATGGGCATAACTGCCCGCCCACAGTGGTTGAAATCCGCGGTAGGGTCACCAAAGGACTCGCAGAAGAAGAGAAAGGGCAACCGCATGGATACTCTAGACTTTTGGATTTTGACAGATGATGGAGTTTTAGAGCTGCCTGACGATCATGAATTCGATGTAGAAAGAGAGATGCGGAAAAGAGAAAGGAATCAGGCCGCTGGCTGGGAGGAATCCGATGAACGCCGGCTTGATGAGAAACTCTACGGTTGGTGGAAAGTGGGAGGCTCCTGGGGCAATCAGGACCAGACCTCTGACTATACACCGTCTGTTGGTGATTGGGAAGACACCACGAGCGTCATATCGATGTCGACAACGGCCGACTCCGAGTGGGAAGGGTACGAATCCGACGGCCGTCGCACTCCCACTCAAGAAGACCCCTTTCCAGGTCGTTTCTCCCGAGAAAGTACTCCGGCTCATGAACCGCTCGTGGATATCGGCGCCTTGGCACGACTGCTGGATCCTCGCGATCAAGAAAGCAGGCACGAAGCGCGCATATTGTCTGCTCACCTGGCTGCCGGCCGTGAGGGTCGGATAATGACCCGTCGGCAGTTCCAGAAGCACGTTGAACGCGACCGAGCCCAAATTTTGCTAAGCTCACGATTGGCACGGCCTTCCACATATGAATCTACTAACGGCAAGCGCAAGCCTACCTCCGAGGAAGAAGCTGAGCTTCTCGAAAACCTCATCCTTTCGCGAAGAGCCGAGATGTCATCCGCTCGAAGCACAGACGAGCAGACGTGGGAATCGGGCGCCTCGGGTCTTGGTCCTAGCGGGCCGCCATGCGTCATTTGCCAGACCAACCCACGGTCCATCATCACCTGGCCATGTCGGTGTCTCTGTATTTGCGAAGATTGCCGTGTCAGTCTTGCGATGAATAACTTTGGAAATTGTGTGACATGCCGCCAGGACGTTGCAGGCTATGTCCGGCTATGGGTCCCATAAGTCTCATTTACATCTTCTCTTGTTTCTCTTTTCAGCATCTTCCTCATGCTTGACATAACGAGGTCTTCATTTAGCAACATTAGCGTAATCTGAATGCAAAGCGATAGATAGAGTGGAACATGTACATTTTAGCATCTAGGATAAATAATATATTGCAGCGCGGATATAGTAGCAATCTCCATCAACACACTACCTGTACCATTCCTGAGCGGTCAACTCATCACAAACTACTAGAGACAACATTAATAAACCAAAAACATATATCATCATATAATCATTCAGTATAGCCAACTTAGATCAACCCCACTCATCAACACCTCTCCCCTAAAAACCCAATCAAGCCGGAACGAAGAAACCAGCACATCTACGTACTCTTTCTACATTAACACAACTGTGAACCCACTCACCCAACAACGAAACAGCAAGCGAATGCCCACTCACATTCAATACCAGTCTCACACTCTAACACACAAAGATGCTGGCTCAGCTTGAAAACTCGCATTCACTGGCCCTCGTCCTGCCCAGATCCATACATACATCGACCGCGTAATGTATACTTGCTCACAACAACACATCTTCCATTACGGACTCTTCGTTCTCTCGGCGTTATCACACCATACGCGTTCTCACAACAGAAGTTCAAAGATACGATTTTCGCTATCGACAGAACAGAACGACTAATCATCTCGAATCCAGTAAGTGATGACAGCAGTCATTCCGGGAGTTCCTTCTCGCTCAGTGAAGAGGAGAAAAAAAAACATAGAAAACTGACCATGTACCACAAGCAAAATCCACAGGCAAGATCGCTGCCGCTGGGAGCTGGGATACAATAGTAAGAGAGACATCAAAGAAAAAGGAAGAGGATAATCAGAAACCTGACGAGAGAATCGCAGCAACCATGGCTTCGTCGTCTGATCATCCTCATGACAGAGAAAATAATGACAACCATAACAAGCCCAATAGACCGGCCCTGAAGATCGACACAACCATCATCGCACCTACTACTACCGCCCGCGCCAGCGCCGGTACTGAGGTCCCGTCTCCAGAGTCGTCGTCTCCTCCGCAAAGTGCCGTCAGCTCGATGTCGACTGCATCGTCCATTCTTTCCAACTCGTCGAGAGAATTCATCCTGCAGCTCGCTCATCCCAATGCTACTGATGGTGAACCTGACGACGGTATCGTCCTTCTGATGTGGCCTGTCCCTGTCTCGACTGCGGCTCCTGTGTCGTCTCCGGTTTCCCCGGCTTTGCCGGTCAATCAGGCTGCTCCCGCTCAGGATCAGGATCATGTCCAGGGGCTGGGTGACCAGAGTGCCCAGGTGACTGGGTACGATCAGACAACTATGGAGGATCTCGCAACAGCTATGGCTGAGACTGAGATCTCCTCTGTGTCGGGCACCGATTGTGACGAGGGTAATGTCGACCATGTGGATCAGAGTACGTTTCCTAGAAGTAGTGGGCGTTCAGTTAGTGATAAACCATGATGCTAATGGGGTAATGAAGCACTCACGAACAGCGAAAGCAACAACAACGACATCGACCAGGATATAGCAGCTAATGACCCCTGCGACCCTGGATACGACGCCGACACTTCAACTAGCCTGGACGACGACTGTGACTATGAGGCCATCCAAGCCTTCTGGGAGAACGTTGTCTGCGACGGCCATGACGATGCTGTCGAACAGGAGGAGGGTCATGGGCATTCAACTTCGTCGTTCGTTCAGGAGTGACTGACTGAAGGTCTCGCCCTGTCAGTCAGCTACCACCTCCCCAGTCCCGATTGGGGAGAGTGGTAGCTGACTGACAGCGAGTTTCGCGTCTCGTGAAAAGTTGTCTCTTGTCTGGCGTTGAAGTTTTCTTTCCTGTTGGGTCTTGAGCGTGGAGTAAAGGGAGTTAAGGATCGAAAGAAAGAAGGAGTCTCAGAGGTCTGCTATATTCTTATGGAGTTGATGGAGTTGTGTTGTTTAGCAGGTCTCGGTTGGTTGGGAGAGAAAGAAGAAAGGATGACAGGAGCTCGGGGGGATCTGCTCGTTTATGTATGCTCGGGTTGGAGCTACTGTATGGTCGTTTACCGTCGTTTACGAGTTTCATGCAGTTAATGTTGTCATCTTTGGAGGTTTCTTCTCGTATTGAGTGTTGCCGGGCTCATTTACGTGTGAGTACTTGGTGCAGTCGGTGTGCATTCAATTGGATGTGGTTCGTAGTTGTGTTCCGGACCTGGCTGGGTCAGAGTGATAGCCTGCACGTTCCATTGCACTGCTAACTTTGCTGGCTTAGGAAGTACGAATTAAGAAAAAGGGATACTGGATTATGCATTATAAGCAATAACGTTTAGGGTCAATTGAGAGCTTTTTCTTGCACAGGAAATCAGTGATATTAAAACCATGTAGAGGCATGGACGGAGTTCAGTAGTAGTCCACATGGCCGTGTACCCAGTAGAATCAAAATAAGAATAACAGCCGAAAAGTACCCAAAAGAGATCACCGGTAGCGAACATAGCAGAAGGAGAGACATGCTATACACTTCTCATACTCCTCAGAAGGTTCCAATAGTCTGCCTTGCTACACCGTAGGTTTGTCTATAGCACGCACACTGCAGCTGCAGCAATGACTATAGCCCCAGCTACACCCGCCTTGACAGTAGATGCAGAGCCAGTTGAAAGAGGAGAGGATGGAGATGGCGTGGACGATCCATGACCGGACTGACTGTGTGAGCCTGGAGTTGAAGGAGCGTGGGAGCTAGATGCCGAAGCTGAAGTAGATGCGGACGAGGAATGCGACACCTTAGACGATGATGCGGCACCAGAGGAGGATACCGTCGGGAGGGTCGCTGATGCAGCGCTGGAGGAGACAGCGCCGGAATCCGTGGTGGAGGTCCTAGGCATGGACAAGGTCGTAGTCTCAAGACCACCGCCCACCGGTGGGATAGAGATGGGATGGCCCGCGATGGAACATTGTCGGACAACTTCACTAGATACGGCTGGCGAATTATTAGTCCCGTCCAGTCCGTAGGGAATGGGTTGGCTTATACCAGACTGGTCGGCAACGTTGCATGATCTTTGGACGCAGGGAGATATGGTGGTAGGCAGATCAGGCTTCTGGCAATGGCAAGCAAAGTCTGTCAACTGTGAACATCCATCACGCTCGAATGCACTGATGAAGCAGTTTATCTAAGAGACAAGTTGTAATGTCAGTCAGGTTAATCCCATCAGCTGGACGTTAAAGCTTACAGAGCATGAAGGGATATTTGGGAGCTGTGCAGTAGCAAGGGTGCTAGCGAGCAGAACAAAAAGTGCGTTAAATAGCTGCATTGTTGAGGAACTTGGCTTTCTATTATTTGAAGTTGTAGATTGCGTTGAGAAGAACTTAAGCGTAGCCTGAGGAGCGACGAACGATAGTTGCCAGACAAGTGGTCAGAGAAGACTTATGAGCGGAGGGCCTTACTTCTTATAAGCTTGTGCCACCGTTTCACGGAACATTGAAGCCGGTATCACATGCATATAATGTTCCCATTGAGGCATATCGGATTGCCCCGTTTTCATTTCAGAATTATGGACATGGGGTGGGCGATGCACAACCCATGTAGGAACCTCCGGCCGTTTGGAGTGATCGGGCAAAGACCATCTTCCAATGCGCACGTCCAATCAACCATATGTCTTACAAGTTTGATCCATCCCTTTCTTGAACTATGCGCTGGGTTGTTCATGAAAGGACGTGTATATAGACGGAGATCATTGCCGAATGAGCAAAATGCGACGTAGGACGGGTAAGATTGCACGTAGTTCGTGGCGACACGCAGATTTCTGTCCATAGCGGGTGACAGTCGGTGTCATACTATGTTGGGACCATCCAAATCAAATTCTGTTGTAATCTCAATGGTGTCTGTTGTCAGGGTACGACCAAAAAAAGGGGGAGAAGACTTGACTAATCGCAAAATTCAGCGACAGATGTCAGCTATGGAGCTTGGAGACGAACTGCAGAATCATGCAGTCATTTGGTGCAATGCGAATGCATCAAAGGCAATCCCTAGCAGCCTTGAGGTCCAGTTATAGCGCCCCCTCCTTCTCTGAGCGTAGATCGGCTAATGCAGGAGCTTCTTGGACATGTCGAGGGGAGCTTGCAGTGAACGTCCCGTAGGACAGTGATATGAAAACCAAGGGTTTGGTAGCACTGAAAGGGGCTTTTTTGTCTGACCAACCGAGTAAAAAGAGCTCAAGCGCAACGTCTTCGGAGCCTAGACATCTTCGGGTCCTTTACGCGGAAGCATCCACCCTCTTTGTGAGATACTGTGCGACCAGCCACTCCTGTCGTGTGCTCAGCGTGGTCAGGTTCAACTTCACAGCTGCTGCGGATCAAAGGTTGCTCGAGTGGCGTTTAGGAGTCACTAAAAATATACTTCGCCCAGCCTGTAGTCCAACGGCTTGCGTATGTACCTTGATTATATTACCTCCGTGTTTGTGCGTAGTTTGAGTGGCTACTTGTGTTCCACAGTGTCTGCAGATCAAGAGAGTTGACTGGGAGAAGACGGAGGTTGGCAATCAAAGTAGTGTAGGTCATTCAACAATAGTAATCCAAAGGGTATGCGCAGAGTTCTCCCAAACGCCCGTCCAACAAACACCCATACTCCCAAATCTATCCCCCGTTGTTCCATGGGACAGAAATATATAATTGCAGGGTCCCACCAAGCCGATGCTCAAGACATCAACTCGTCAATATACGCTCTCTGTTTAGTGGTATCGTCCGGTTTCAACAACACGGCCAACACCTCAATGGGAGGATTGAGGCCCAGCATATGCGCACGTCTCCACCGCTTCAGTCGAGCAATTCCAATGCAAGGCTACACCAATATAAGGTCAGCTCAAAAGAACATGAGGTATATGAATAGAGTCAGACCTACCCCGTACTGGCTTGAGAGGTCGAAGTTGCGCAGAATCTTCTCTCGTAGCTCGAGGCCCTCCTGGTGAACTAGTGGAGATGATCAGCGTACTTGTCACAGGAGATGCCTGACTGGGGCGTGTCACTCACCTCTGGGCCCTTGTCTCTTTGCTTCTTCCTTCTTCCAGTACTGCTGCAGCTGCCTTTCGGTAATCTTTTCCGCCTTAGCATCCTCTTCTGATCGTGGTTGTTGAATCTCTGTCTGAGCCTGCTTCCTTACGGCAAGCTCTGCCACATGGGGTTGCGAAGGCTCCGTGGGAGTAACAGAGGCCTGTTCTGCTTCGGACACATCTTCAACGGATGGTGTACTCGATCGAGTAGTATCAATCAGGTCGAGATCTTTGGCTTTCTGAGAGCGTGTAGATGGCGCTGCTGATGGCTTCGTGACTCTGGACTTGGAGCCGAACGATAAGGTCGCCTGGTTTGAACGGGTGGCGGCAGTATTGCCACCGCGGCGACGAGAGGGAGGCATTTTGTGACTTTGATGAAATAGCGTCCGCTATCAGAGGGTATGTAGATGATGTGCAGCAGTTTAATGAGAAGAGTCCAGGCTGAAGGAAAATCCAGGACTACGTCTGGGCCAGGCCTGGTTGAGAGTGTGGGGGAGACGATGTCATCATGCTTGTTGCACATGGCAACCGCCGCTACCGGATTTACTTCCACCAACCCCAATCCAGTACTATCACCCCTGGAACACCAGCCCAAGTTCGTCTTTCATGCCTGCTTAAAGGTATGCTGGAGTAATATTTAACTTATTATATACTTGACTGGATATAGAACCATCCAGCTAGTCAGCCTGTCTGCATGTTCCTCACGTGGCCAATCAGCAGGCTTACATTGCGGGGTAGATAGTGGTACCTGAAGTCCGTGGACGAAGTAGCCTCCCGGCCTGCAGCTGACCAAGGGCCTTGGTCGGATTCTGAGGGAGTATCCACTTCGGTGGTTCGATGAGAATATCTTGTAGAAGATCACATTTAAAGGTGAAACTGCGCGTGCCACTATGATGCAGTAATCTGTCGTTTATCTACCATTCTAGTACATCGATAAACTACTGATTTTACCTGCTTTGTTTTGGCTGCTGATAATATCAACAACATGCCTTCGTCACTATTCAACATGGTCTATAGAAATTCCGTGGCTGTGATTGATAATCCCTAATGGAGAGTCTACTTAAAAGTAGGTACCTGCTTATCGCCAGTATGGGTCAGTCACATGGCATCATTGATAAGAGCAGACCTGCAGGGCGGGAGGCACACGATTGACCGCTTTTTGCAGGGGAGCTCCAAGTGGAATCCATCCAAGTATGGATCAGCGCATGGGCAGCGACCCAGCTCTATATAACAGAGAATGCATGAGACTTGAGATTTGATCTAATCGAGTCTACTGTGAGCAGATTGATAAGAGCTCATATGGAACACATTCGGGAGCGGCTAGCTAGGAATGTACTATCCAGGGTGCGTTTGCTGTACAGAAGGATGATTAATCGTCCAGGCGGCAACCAAGGCTGTATGCAATCGATTTGCCGCCCAGAATGGCTTCGTCGTTTCACGCTGCATAATCATCATCCAAGCCCCAATTGTTGATAAATGAATGACGATCAATAAATTAAAATGTTCTGCCTAGTGGAGAGCCCAATCATTAGTGGAATGACTCTAAAAGAAGTTGATATGTGTCATCAGCTGTCTCCGAGGACAGAATGCACTGCAGGTAGTGATACTAAGATGGTATGACAAGGGGCATGAATTGGTGATGAGTTAGTGGGGAGTTAGTAAGTTCCTTGTATACTCCGTACTGAGCAAAAGGATCGCGGCTGGCTGGCCTGACCAGGGTCGGGGAAGAGGTCAAGTTCAAGTAGTTCCGTGGCTGCCGCTGGGAACTTAACTTGCTTAGCCGCCGCAGATGGTCCCCATCACCTTCTCCCCTCCCCACATCAGCGCTTGTAAACAACCCTCGATTGCTTCACCACCGGCTTCCTCTCCCTTTCCAGCATCTTTCGACTCTACCCCCGTTTTCCCTCCTTTGCCGCTTCCGAATTCCTGTCTGACGCCGCCCGCACCCTAAGCCGTAATCGCCTAGCCTCGCCCAGACTTGGTCCGAACTTCACGTTCCATAGCAACGAGAGGGGTGTACCGCAACTGCGCCCTCACAATACCTTGGGTGCAGCGCTATTAAGCGGGATTTGCTCACGATATTCGGCTTCTCTATGAGATTACCGCCGATCTATAGCTCATCGAGGTCGCATATTCTCCGCAGAATCCCCGGGGCGCATCCCTCTCACCCGCCGCGTGCCCATGGTGGTGCGGTAGCAGTGCTCTCAGCATGGCCGCCTTCGTGCGAGTGTCGGGGCCGCCGAATGGCCATTTTCTGATCGGCTACCCCGGTATATCTGCAACAATGGTGAGGACCAACTGTTATCTACTCTATCTTCGATGCATACAGCCATTGCTGACCTCCAGAAGCCACGTATCGAAGGCAAGGTTGAGATCAGGCCTAGCGTCGGCATCACAGCTCCCGTCAATGTGTCCCTCGTCACCATATCCCTTCATCGACGTGAGACAATACATCCCTCCGCCGATTCCGTGACAAAGAAGCATCTTGCGCCCCCTAGGAAAGAGATCACCGATATTGTGGGCAAGGAGATGCTCCTCTTCCGCTGCCCAGCGGGTCGAGAGTACGAGGAAGTGATATCAATGGATTTGCCCTTCGTCCTTTTCATTCCATTTGGGCGCGGAGGGCCAGATGCCTCGAGAAGAGTTCCACCCGCCAGTTTGCAACTCCCTAGTCGCACCGCAGAGACATTCTATGAAATAGTGGTCATGGTCCAACAGGGTCATTCGGATCAGCGAAAATACACATTCCCGGTTCCCATCTCCCGATATGACACACTCTCCACATTTGGAATGTACAACCGTCCCGAGTCGGCGGAAAGGGTGTCAGACCATCTGGTCACCTTGGGCATATCCTTGCCCCGGTGGTCTTACGGTCCCCTTGACCCGGTGAGCGTTTACGTGAAACTATCGCCCAATCTCGACTGGATAGGCAAAGCCAGGAAAGTCACGATAAATAAGATCACGGTTGGGATCGACGAGGAGATCATCTACAACCATGAAGGTGATGAGCCACAGCGGAAAGTGAGGACCTTAACGAAGAGGACAGAGCCGATTGGGGTTAAGCTACCCCCGTCAGGCTTTTTGACAAATCTGGGTCTAGTATTTCCTGCCAAGGATCTTCGAGATTCCAAGGGCATTCTCCCCAGAAGCGATATGGCTTTTCCGGCTTACGCTGTGACTGGGTTTACGACTACGGCGAGCCTTTATAAGATCGAATACTACCTGACAGTGAAGGTTCGTCTTCCCATCTTGCAGGTGCAGTCGTGTGACTTTGGCTAACAATCTTCAGGCCCACTTGACGTCCGCCAGAGATATCGTCATTCGACAGCCCATAGTTGTCTGTCCTCTTGATCATGCCGGTTGCAAAGAGGAGATGGATGCTATCGAACAGGCTGCCCGCGAAGCGGTTCATATTAATCCAGATAATCCCATGCTGCCACTTCCTTCCATCGTGCGGCCCAGCGATCCCAATGCTCTTCGTCATCTGGGTGTGGCCATTGTCGGCAATCAAAAGAAGCCTCTAATAGACTGAGCCTCAATTTTCAGGTCGGACTCACATGTCCACGATTTTCAACCAAGTGATGCCCGCGCTTGCTCAGCCGCGGGGTAATCGGGCCATTTTACAGCGCCATCCCCAGGACAACGCCATATACGCGCCGATAGAGCCTGACCGCGTCGTACATTTCTTTTCCGATTCGGCGTGCTTGCTGTGACGCAAAAAGCGTCATTACGTCTTACGAATGCATGGACTACGGAGTTTTGTCGTTGCATGGTTTTCCTGGTAGCCATTTCGTTCCATATTTTGTTGGCCGGAGCAAAAACGGGGTGTTTGGGTTGCCTTTGCTTCACACGGAGGAAAAGGCCGGGGGAGAGTTTCCATTCTGGTTTGGTTCACATGCTTTCCCATGCATGTTCTAGTTGTGCATGCGCAATATAATATGTAAGATCTACCTTTCACGGCTCAATTCTGGAAGCGAAAGAGAAGGGACCCATTTTCAGCAGCTAGACTTGGATTCAACATGTGGCAGACAGGGCAGATAGATGATCCCGTCCGCATAGTCCACAATATTTCTTGCTTATCACGCAAGGCCGACTATCTGGAATACTATATAGCGATGCTAATTTCTGGAACGAAATACAACGAGAGCCGCGAATACAATGAGGCAAGAGGCTCGTATATCTTCACTCATCTACCACTGCGCCTGTATTGAAAACCCTCAAAATCTGTAGGGTATTCGTAGAACATCGTAGCATAATACATGAGGGCGCATCCAACTAAGCAGCCATACAATACGCCTGTCAAGACATAGACTCTTCCCATGAACAAAGACTCAGAAGGTCGTCAAATTCATACCGATAACCAGAAGTTCGAGCCCTCCATCCCCATCTCATAGTCCATTTCACGGTCCTTCCCCAATCTTCAAGAACTCCATAGCAGAGCTCAAGGTATCATCAAGATCGCGACAATTGCGTTCCTCCATGTCTTTCTCAACACGTCTCATGAACTCCTTGACCATTTCCGCAATACTCTGAAATTGTGGTGACTTAGGACCGAATGTAGTGTATGCGTTGCCGAGATTCGTCATCATCTAAACTGCGTTAGAGGGGCAGACACGTTATGGCTGTATGTGCGTGACTTGAAGACTTACCTGGATGTAGATTTCTTTATAGTCGGTACGAGGGTCTGTCATTTTGGAGATATGGGTATGGAAGGTGCTACTGGAGCAAAATCAAGAGATTTTATGGTGGTGGTGCGGCCCCTTTTGATTCCCCGCGGTTGTCGGATCTGATAAGCAGAGGAGAAAGTTGGGCCAGAGGTTTAGGCGTCAGTCGTCAACGCTCACACAAAAGCGGTCTATCGATGTGTGACATGGGCAGATTTGCTTATAGTTTGAATGTCGTGAATATGCTTGTCTTGATTGGGTTACTATTCTAGTAAGGGTTGTGAATTCTTCCCTTGGACATGCAATAATATACTTCAGAGAAGATAAGACTAAACTACTACAGTATAATCTTCACTACGATGATGACATCGAGCTATACCAAGGATATAATATAGATATAATCGAAGTAAAGGCGGTATGTACATTTTTACAGAATAGCATCTTGATGAGCTCTATCCGGCTTGATCATTAATTTCCATTTGTTTCAATGTTGGAACATCAACTGGTGAAGAAG